CTGAAATGACTCATGTTTGAAGAAAAATCCCTTTAGAAAAGTCCTGGAGTCCCAGTTCTGACTGTCAGTACTGAGCCTGCCAATGCTTTAATGAGCGGCTCCAACTACTAATTACCTCCCCTGTAAAGAATGTGCTGTTTCCCAGTTCCACACATCTCCATTGGCCAACAGCTTTGGCGTGTGTTCTTCCTCTTCCCTGCCAGATGGAAGAACCCTCCCGTGTCAAACTTCTGCTCCCCCATGGGAACTGCCAGGGTTACAGTCTTTCCTGAGCCGTGGGTGGCACCACAGGTGTGGGATCCCAGTTTTGCTCCAGGTTTCCTAAGCTGCTGACATGAGCTCCCAGGCTGGCTGTGGTCCCTCATCCCATCCTGTTAGATTAAGCCTTTTTCTGAGCCAGAGATGGGGCAACTGAGAGGTGTTTTAAAAACTTTTATTCCATTTTCAGTCTCATGTGAAGGGTGAGACAATACAAATGTTATAATTCATGCTATTACAATCAGAGAGAGATTTTTAAAATTTTCTACATTTTCTAAATTCCTTTCCTAAATCAGATTTATACAGTCTCTGATCCTGTACATAGGAACTGTGTGCAGTTCTGGGTCCCAACATTTGAGAAGGATGGGAAAACCCTGGAATGTGTCCAGAGGAGGAGAATCAAGCTGGTGATGAGCTGGAAGACATGGAGAGAAGGGGGCTGAGGGGTGATCTCATGGCTCTGTGCAGCTTCCTGAGGAGAGGATGTGGAGACAGAGGTGCTGAGCTCTTCTCCTTGGGTTCCAGGCAGAGGATGCCTGGGAATGGCTCAAAGCTGCATGGGGAGAGGGTTAGACTGGACATTGGGCAGCATCTTTACCAAGAGGATGGTCAGGCACTGCGATGGGCTTCCTGGGGATGTGGTCAATGCCCCAAACCTGTCAGTGTTGAAGAGGCATTTGGATGGTGCCCTTAACAAGAGCACTTGTAACTTCTGGTCATCCCTGAAGTGGTCAGGCAGTTGCCGTAGATGGTCACTGTAGGTCCCTTCAAACTCTCCTCTCCTCTCCTCTC